ATAAGGTAGTATGGAGGGCTGATGCATGTCTTGTTCATGAGGATATCATTATATACTAAAAGTTGCAGTAATTATATTGCTGTTACCATAAATTTCTTTCAACCTTGCTGGTGAAGCATCATCTTAGGTGGTACAGAGCATCAACCAATATATAGAATGGATTAGTAGTATTAATATGTTTAATGAAAGCTTTAATTTCCTCACTATGTTCCTGCCCCAATATAGAATACTCTTAGAAATATCAAAAAGTGAATGTCAGACTTAACTCTTATTTGGAGTGTTTATCTTGCTAAATGAAAGAAATAATAATCCATTTCAACTTTGTCTTATACTAGACTTGAAACACCTCTAGAAAGATCATCTTTTTTTACCTCATTTTTAGATCTTTTAAAATCTCTAGAGAAAATATTCTTTACTAATGGTGAAGACTGATTAGAATGAGTCATTTGATAAAGAAAAATTAAGTTCTTTTGTTAAATCAATAGTTAAGCCTTCCTAAAGGAGAAATTAAGAGAAAATTGGGTTTTCTTGGTAAGGGGTTGGCAGACTATAGCCTGTGGGCAAAATCTGGCCTGTTACCTGTTTTTGAAAATAAAGTTTTATTAGAACACAGTCATGCTTGTTCATTCAAGTATTATCAGTTATAGTTTTTGCACTATAGGGCAGAGTTGAGTAGTTGCATCAGAGACCATATGGCTCACAAAACCCAAGTTACTTATTGTCTGGCCCTTTTCAGAAAGCATTTACCAACCCCTATTCCAGAAAATTCAATATTACGAATACCCAACTTTAAAAAATAATCTAGAATTTACTTTCTTGTTGCCAATATCTTTTGCTTTACCACTGCAATGCTTTAAGTTAGTGTGCACATAGTAAAGGTGATGATGAATATAAATTTCAGAAACAGCCAATCTGTGTAGAAGGTAAGACATATCAAATGGTATTAAATAGTCTCATGTTTTACAGATGTTCTTGCACATCAGGTTTTGGGCAATAATATTATTATTTTCTGCTATTAAAGATAGAATTGTATTTAGAAAAATGATTTTGTTTTGATTTGTAACAAGTTTAATACTATTTACCTTACCATTTTTCAGTTTCTTAAAATTACTTTATGATAATCGCTTTGAATTTTTGTTTGTTTACCATATGTACTTAATGCAATGTTTTCTTCTGATATTTTCCTCAGTTGGCTTGACTCCATAAGTTTTTCTTAATGTAGGGATTATTGAATTTTCATAATTTTAGAAGTTATAATTATGTTTTGCATAGTAAATTTCAAATACTAATGGGAGTATTAAAAGAAAAAATAACAGTAAGGCTTAGATGGTCAGGAATAGGTTGTTAGGGTTATTTCTTAATGTTTCTGCTTAAACTGAATTCATTTTGGTATTAGTTTCCTACTACCTAAAGTAGTGTGCACAACAGTTGTGCTGATTCATTACTCAGAAGTACTACTTACTGGGAGACTTTTACATATGGAAGGTAATAGAGATCAGAGAAAGTGTAAGCCCAATGTCATGCCTTCAATTGAGAGGACTTTCTTATTTATGTTCTTTATAAGAAAGTAAAATACATGGGTTCAATCTAGGTTTTATGGTATGAACCTAATATGAGAACTGTTCCTTGAGAACTGTATTGCTTGGAGCATTTCTGAGCTGTCCTTTCACTTGCTGATACTGACCCCAATCATTGTGTGACGAAATAGTGGAGTCGAAGGAAGGCAGCCTTACATTTAATCTTAGGAAGTACTTTATTCTAGTGAAGTAACCTATGAACTAATGTCCATGTGTTCTCTTCTTTTGTTGATTTCCAAAGAACCTGGAACTGAGAGTGCAGAACTGATAAGGGGTGACTTGATGCATCAGCCACCCATCCTCTGGGTTGCTCAGTTTCATCATTGATAAAGTGGTTTAAGTATCTCAACTAATCCTTTCAAGCTCTGATGTTCTCAGATAACTTATTTCAGAAATAAAAAAAATTTTACCAAAATTAAAAAGTTTTTGTAAAAAGGAATCTTACCTTATTCCACCAGCCTCAGATGTGTGTCTGTGTGTATAATTGTGTGTACACACTTACACCCAACTGCTTACTTTATACTCTGCCCCTCTTAGAGCTTTGCTAACTCCTAGATCTCTAACTTAAGCTCATACCTTTTTCATGAGTTCTGGATATTTTCACTTGTATGTTCTGCAGCTCCTGAAATTTAACATGTTCCAAAATTGATATATTTCCCCCTTAATTCTTCACTACTCCCGTCTACCCAAACTGGCCAAAAAAACAAAACAAAACAGAAAACTGTTTCTCTAGCTGTTAGCAGCCCTGTCAGCAACCAGGTCAAGTTTTGGCCAGTGAGCCACAACTTTAGGGTCATCTTGAACATCGCTCATCTTCCATTAGGCCAGCCAGCCGGTCCTCCCAGCTGGTGTCCCCTCGGTGCCTGCTGACCACAGACACCAGCAGACTTCTTTTATTGAGGGGGAGGTGATCATTTTGCTTTTTTAACTATATAGGTTGTTATAAACTACCAGGATAGTTGCTGAATGTCCATGTATATAAAATGTGAATTGTAAAATTTTATAACAAAAGAACTAAATGAATGATTATAATGATATGTTTAATAAGCATTGTTTACACACCGTATGTTTAACACTGTTACTTCTTAGTAAAGGGGGGACAAGAACAATAAAGGAAATTGAAAAAGTATGTGCTGCTTAATAGTCTGTCAGATGAAGAAACTAAAGTATAAACACATGAATAAAATTGTAAAGTAGCATATGATAAAACTAACACCCCAACATAGAGTAGATGCTTGATGCTCAAAGTGTGGATTGTGGACCAGCCGCTTCAGCATCACCTGGGAGCTTATTAGAAATGCAGGATCTCAGGCCCCTACTGAATCAGTCTGAATTTTAACAAGATCCCCAGCTGCTTCATATGCACATTAAGGTTTGAGAATACCTAACTGATATTTGTGAACTAACACTGTTATTCTATACATGTACTAACTAGCCACCCATGGCAAATTATTTGCCTTTTTTATAGTTGAGGAAGTCTGTTTCCCAGTTACTCAGCTGTAAGTGGCAGAGCTAAAATTCCCACTCACTTTACCTCTCTCTTCCCACTCAGCTCTGCTGTACTCTTTCTCTATGAAAAGGGCTAAGTGAAGAAGGAGGAGTGAAGCTGCCTCTACAGACAGGGCTTGGGAGGCCAGGGAAGACAGCTCTGAGGAGCAATGAGGTTTTGTTCAGAACTGGACATATGTTGATGCAATGGCAGTGCCCCTGCTTTTTTAAGGCTGAATAATATTCCATTGTATGAATATACTTTTTCTTTATCCATTTGTCCATCAATAGTTGTGTCCATTTCTTGGCTATTTATAAATAATGCTGCAAAGAACATAGGAGTGCAGACATTTCTCAAGATCCTGCTTTCAGTTCCTTTGGATGAATTCCCAAAATTGGGAATCTACAATAGTCAAATTCACAGAAGCAGAGAGTACAATGGTAGTTACCAGGGGCTAGTTGTAGGGAGAAATGGGAAGTTGTTGATCAAGGGGTACACAGTTTCAGTTTATGCACAATGAGTGTGTTCTGGAGATGCACAGCAGCGTGGCAGTAGGTAAGGGTCCTGTACTGTGCACTTGAAAGTTGCCGAGCAGCTGGGCTCCTCTAACTGTTCTCCCCCCACACACACATAAGTAACTGTGTGAGGTGATGGACATGTTAAGTAGCTTGATTGTAGTGGTTATTTCATAGTATATACATATATCAAATCATCAAATTATATACCTTAAATATATACAGTAAAAAAAAAAGTGGGCATAAACTCTGTTGCATTTTAATACAAATATATTCAAATGTCCATTTGTTATCATTGTCTTGTAAGGTGGCTTTGGGGACCACATCTTTTTTCCTAGAACAACAGTGTCATTTTTTCACTTAACATGAGTAAATGATGTCTTCGCTACTAAACAGGACTCATTAGAATCAAAGCAAAAGCAAACACGTATTTGAACTGATATATGTAAATTCTCAACTGATATGAGTAAATTCTCAACTATTTGGATTTTGTCCTTTTTTTTTTTTTTCAAATCTGCATGACACTGGGTTCATGAAACCTAATGTCCATGTGTGCAGTGATGTTTTTGACGTACTTACCTGTAACCTCTTTTCACCCACACAGCAGACTTCTGAGAAGGAGGGTAAATTGTTGTGCTATGTGTTTAGGGACAAAAGTACCAGAAAACTTTGTCTTCTCCTTGGAAAATTGTTCACAGAAGAATCCCAGAGGGGTTTTAAATCTATTCTCTCCAGTAAACTATAGTATATAAATTAAGTTTTGATCTATTATAGAGAAAAACACTAATACTTTATAGACAAATGGCATATACTCAAATATTTATAGCTGTTTAATGGCATTTTATAGATATTTATTTGGGTTTTGTCTTTTTTTTACTTTTTTAATTAAGGAATTTGTGGGGTAGATGTGAGTTCATTGTGGCATTCAGCTTCTATTTGCTTGGCTTTTTCATAGTCGGTGCCGCCCTAATCCCTAGCATGGAAAATAGTAACCCTCTGTGCTTGACTTCGTTTAACTTATACCAACTGTTTTTAGAAATTACATTTTTTTTATTTTAAAAAATCAGCAAAAGCTTGTGTATGGTTAAGTTTTCATTATGTTTGTTTTTTGTTTGTTTTTGTTTTCTTAGGGAAAGAATCCTATAAAATGGCTATTAAATTTTTAGCCAGTGACAATGAGATTTTCTCAGTATTACCTTGAATTCTATACCTCTTAATTCTTAGACTCTGTGGTTTTGTTGTTCTGTAGTGTCCTACTAAAATATTCATTTTTTTTACAGTGTATTGCAAGTTCCACTGCATTACATGCAAATATGATTCACTCATACCTAGCTGTTTGTGGATTCAAACTCATAAATGAACCACTTTTAAGTTAAGCTAACGTGTACTGACATCTTTTGTGTTTTCTGATATTTACAGATTCGAGTGGTGAATGCATTTCGTAGTTCTTTATATGAAGGGTTAGAAAAACCGGAATCAAGAAGTTCTATTCACAACTTTATGACACATCCTGAGTTTAGGATAGAAGATTCAGAGCCTCATATCCCCCTTATTGATGACACTGATGCTGAAGATGATGCTCCTACAAAACGTAACTGCAGTCCTCCACCCTCTCCCAACAAAAATAACAATGCTGTTGACAGCGGGATTCACCTTACAATAGAAATGAACAAGTCTGCTACCTCTTCATCCCCAGGAAGCCCACTACATAGTTTGGAAACATCACTCTGATTGTAAGCTGAATGTTAACACACTAGCTGCATTGTAAAGAAACAAATTGAAACTGGGTCTTTTCACATTTTGTGACGGACAAGATAGTATTCTTGTCTTTGGACTTCAACAGAAGACACACTTGTACGAATGTAGATTTATTTTTTTAAAAAAAAAAGTAAAGCTTTCTGCCAGACTGAGGGTGCTTTTTGGGGGGTGGGAGAAATGAACTGACAGATAAACAGTAACTCAGCATAAGGTGACCTGTGGATCATCAGTAGTACCTAAGAATGGTCCTGAACGGCGCATTAGAACTTTAGTTTATCTCAATCCTTTGATGGGGGAGAGGCGGGAGGAAGAGCTGGGCAAGCAAGCAAAGAGCCCTGGATCATTGAATTGATACTTTAATTTCTGCTGTTGGCTGTTAATAATTTGGATTATTTATGTTTATAAATGATACAGATCTGTTTACAAGGTTTGTAGATACTTTTTTTGTTCCTGTTCATAGATGGGAAGCTTCCTTATAACTGATGCAGAGAAAAATTAGTCCTTCAAATACTGCTGTATTTTCAGGAAAACAAAAAGGGGTGTTTCTATTGAAACTGTACTAAATTTTTGCCTACAACTACCTTGTTAAATATTGTAGATAAATTGCTAATACTAATAGCCAAATAGATAACACTAATGCTTTGTTTAAAAAAACAAAAAAACAAAAACAAAACAAAAAGAAAAAAACATGAGCAGCGGTGTTCTAATGAAGTTATGGCATCTGTCCTAATTAGTTTCTTAAATACATTTACTACTTAATGGTTTTGAAACAACTGTTTAATTTTTAAAATTTTTGAAAACTTGCTAATAACCTTTGTTCAGAATTTAGTAGATTGTTTAATGCGGGACATGAACTACAAAATGAAAGATGCTTGAAATGCTTTTGTTATTTCAGGCAAATTAAATTAAATCAAACTATCAAACTACAAGAAAACCTTAGTCCTTTTTGTTTTTGTCTAAACATGTTAGTTCAGTGATGTCTTGGTGAACTGTGAGTGAGCTATATTGATTTTTCTAATAAACCTTTAGAAACTTTCATACAGCATGAGGGCTGTTGGCATTTTGAAAAAGGTTAATAAGTAGAAGCATACATGTTTTCCTTTTGTTTTCAAAACTTTGTAAACATAAATAAATATGCCCTTTTATTAAATAAATACACGACAGTGTTTTTTCTTTTTAAAAGAACTTTCAGCTTCTTTACTCAATCCTGCATATATGCTACATCAGTCTGTTCTCTTTAACCACAATTGGAATAAATTTCAAGATGGTAACAGCCCCATGAAGTACTGTTTAATTCCTTGGTGGTAATCTAATAGTCAGATTAAGAAAATCATTGCAATTTCACCATTTGACATACTCTTCATAGAATATAGTTTGTGTAACATAGTCTCACAGTCTAAAAATAATAATGATGAGCACCATTTGTGTTTGATACATTTTTTTAAATTCTTAAGTGGCCAAATAACAAATTAGGTAAAATGAGATTATATGAAAAGGTAGAAAAAGGTCCTAAAAGATACGTTTAGATGTAATAATTAACCATGTGCTGGAATGCCCATCTCTACGCCCATTGGATATCTTTAAGTCTCTGTTTCTTTCTCTTGTTTACCTTCTCCCCTTTTTTGCCTCTGTCTTTATCATTTACGAACTGGCATTCTATTAGGCCCAGATTTCACCAGATATACAATCCTCAGGCTGACATAAAGGACTACTACAACATCTCAGAGTGCTGACCCAGCACAGAACTATTTAGTGGATGATGCTTGATATTTTTGGTGGGTGAGGGAAAATCTTCTCTCCATCAATCCTTTGCAGTAATCCTCTGCAAGTCTTAGAAACACATTGGCTCTGTCAGCATTTGTAATTGTATATTTATTCATCAGGTATTTATAGTGAATCATACTGTAAAAAGAGGTAGCATGATATGCTGGAAAGCATACTAGGCTAGGAGTCAAGACCGTGTTTCTAGTCTTGGCTTTGCCATTAACGTGCTGCATGACCTTGGGAAAACCATTTACCCTGAGTGAGGGTGGTGGACTAGACTATGTCGAAGAACCCTTTCAACTCTAAATACTGACCCTAGCAGCTTGAGAAGCCTTTAAGGCATAGGGACTAGAGAAAGGGGAAATGTTTTCAGTTTTCTTTTTTACATGGTTATGCTTAAGTATGAATGTAATTACCAAAAGATTTAGAAGTGCATGTGCAGTGGAGGATTTGTATTGAGCTTTTACAGTATTCATTTTCAACTCAAGGCAATGGCTTTTTACACCAACTCTTAATCCATAAACGGGTCTTTTGACACCCATGAAGTAGTAGCAAGACATGCTTAGTCTTTATTTCTGTCTCTGAGACACTGTAATTTCTACCAGAAATTTCCAAAGCATCATGTAAGTAGAGAAAAATGCAAGCAAGCTGTTAAAGATCTTGGATCCCATTATATAGTATGTATAGCTGAAATCAGCATCTATAATTCAATCACTTTTTCTCTTTAATCCTCTAACCAAAAAATTGTTTAATTTTGCATCCCAAATGTTTTTAATCTTTGTATATTTTTTAAAAACCCTTTTCTCCTCATCATTGCCTTTTTTGTGGTTGTAAATAGACTTACTTGCACTTTGAAGATGAGTTACTCCTTGTCATCTTACAAATATGTGATATGGTAATTTTCATAACAGATGTCAGTTTTGAACCAAGAAATGGTGATTTGTTTATAAGAAAAAAAAACTGGCTTCATTTCTGTGAAATTGCTCTTTGAAAATTTCTTTTTACACGTGTAAGCCAATTGAGATACCGTGATGGTGTTGATTTCTTTTAATGATGCTTACCATCTATTTTAGCCACTGAGCCTTTTATTATTTGTCTATTTGTAAAGTTTATTTGTCTTAACTCATTTAATAAATATACTGTTTATCTGTTTCTGAATGGGGACTGAACTTTTTGAATATTTTAACTTGTCTAATCATATTTTAGAATTTTTAATCTGATGAAAAGTCTATGCTGTACTTGCAATGTTATGGTTGTGTTATAGTGAATCAGTGTTCTAATATACATGATCTTGCCCCTAGAATGCAAGTGGGTATGTTGTCCTTATTGCTGCCCACTATCTTCAGTCCTTGTAGCACATAGATCATTCCTGCAGCCCAGGGGAGAGTGCAATGTTTTGGTTTTAGAAAAGATTCATTTTTCACATTAACTGTAAGGGCTGATTTTTTCATTAGATGATCTAAATTTATCATAGCAATTATCTGAACTCTGTGGTAACAAAATCAAATCACCCTTGGTTTTTATAATAAATTATAAATTATTAGCATAATTGACAACTGTTGAAATACGGAGAGAATTTTGAGTGATTATGAACACCATGCTTTTCCATGGGTAAAAATTACTAGTAAACTCTCGAATATATGTAAGTGCCGTATTTATATGAGAGATGTTTTTTGTCCATAGATTTTATAATATGTTTCAGGATTGAATTTTCAAATTAAGTTCCCTTTGTAGAATTAACAGAATAAGGAAGGGGAGTTTCTGTAAGTCTTTGTGGACGTGTTTCCTTTGCTGTGTCTTCAGAGAACTCCTGTCATACTGGAGCAGCCTTCTTTCTTTTAACCTCTTCCACTTTGAGCCTGATGTCCAAACCTTTATCTTTTTAAATTACAATGTTACATTCATTTGTAGGCCAAAAAAAAAACAAAAACTTTTATTAACATAATTACACCACCTAACTAAAAATAATCTTTGAAAGCTCCTTGAAAAATAACCTTTCTCTTAAAACAAGTGCTAGAAAAGACTGCGATGTTTATGCAGTAAGAGAAATTGTACTTGTGTTTCTGTACATCTCTCATCAGTACATGTCAAGAAGAAAATTATCTTTATCCTTAAAATTTCCTTTTCAATAGGTTGATGATAATTTTGTCCCTGAAACTCTTCAGTTGAGAGTTTACTTACAAGTAAACTCTTGCCTTTTGTCTTAAGTACATCTTTAATTTCCTTATTTATTAGAAAAACACTTCAGCTTACCAGTGAATAGACTAAATGTAAGCATGTTTAATTTGTATTCTCTGGATTCAAAGTGTCAATAATAGGAATGGTCCCAAAGTAGGCAAGTAAAGTAAAAATGTACATATATGTGCTTATACAGTATTGGTCTTTGTTACAGCTTCCTCAACTATATCCTATATATCCTGGGAGAACTAGTTCCCAAATCAGTAACACACAAGTCTGGGTGTAGGTTCAGTGCAGGAAGTCCCTAATAGCCTCTTAATTTAAATCAGACTTACAAGGTCCACATAATTTCTGAATTACTTTTCAGATCATTAAAAATAAGCGTTGATAAGTTCCCTTAGCTATTAAAAGGACTGTTGTCACAACATTAATATTTATGGAGTACCTGATAATATGCTGAGCACTTTGTATGAATTGTATAAATAATAACCTTGTGTACTACTACTGCCATATCACATATGGAACACTGAGACAGAGAATTTAAATAACTTTATCTAGATCCCATGACAGACTGGCATTCACATGCAGGGCAGACCTTTTCAAGAGCCCTAGCTGGTAGCTACTCGTCTTTTCTGCCATTCTGACATCTTGTTAACTTGAGCCAGGGCCCAACGCCTAAAAATCTGTGCTTAATTTCTGAGTGCTCCTTCGTTGTTCCTTTCTGATATTGAATGCTTCAGAGATGATCTTAAGAATATTTTCATAATATCCTCGAGGATAGCTCAAAAGACCAAGGCAGGAATCAACAGCTAGGATGTATAATCCAAGCCTTCTTTATAATCAGACCTCCTGTAACTGAAGAGTTGGAGGTAAGCTTAGTGCAGTGTTGTTTTCAATAGCATACTTTGATTAGAGAATTTCATAATTCAGAATACTTTAAAGATGTGTATTCTAAGTTGCATAGATAACCTATTTAATAGGTCATTGCTTTATTTCCTAGATTAAAATGAAAATAAATTTATCACATTGAGATAATCTGCAAGTTTTGTTCTTAGAATTTGTGAAATTAAGGAGCAGGACCTAGCTTTACATATTTTGAAGAATTTGTCCTTCAGTATTTTTCTTGAAGATTCTGAATGCTTGAGTATTTAGCCTAAGGGAATGACTAAGAAATTTTAAATTTTTTTTCATTAACAATTTTTAAAACAAAATTGCAACCATTATTTCACTACTGGATGAAATACTATTCACTAATAATGAATGGAGAGCAGAAGGTGTAGAGAAAGGGCCTGAATGACAGATAATTTTGAGAGTAGGAATAAGGGAACAAACAACCAGTAGAGTTTTTAAGAGCCAGACTCCAGAAAACTGGTGTGGCTTCACTGCTACAATTAACCTTTGTCTCCATCACACTTCAGGTGTTGAGATCTACCTACTCATCCTATGTCTGTAACAGTGAGAGTATCATCTTATATTGATGTTTATGATTAGTTAGTTGGCCTCACTTGTAGCCCAAATATGAGATGCTTGCTGGCTTTTATATTCTTTAAGGTAACATTTATCTTAAAGTATTTCAAAAGAATTTTTTTTCTGTAAGGCTGCTTTTGAAATAAATATTTAATCTAAGGCAAGTCTTAATTATTAGCTTGAGAATTAGCTTAGAAATGGGATTTTAGGGAGAGCTCTGTTAGCAATTCCAATTAGTATGATTTTAACTTACCTAGTATTCTAACTCTTGACCATTAATTGGGCTCTTTCAGTAAGCTTCAAACCCTCTAATAAAGGTAAGTCTGTGTCAATCACTGATCTTTGGCTTTCTCACTGTTACAGACAGGAGGAGGAGTAGGTCTCTATATCTGAAGTGTGTTGTGGGGGAGAAGGTGAATTGTGTTAACAGTGAAGCCCCACTATGTTTCTGGAGTCTGGGACTCCTGAGGATTTTGTCCTAGTACCTCCCCTTTTTCCTGCCACCAAAATTACCTAACTGCCAACTGCTTTCGTGTCCTTTATCTATATCCGCTCTCCACTCAGTCATTCAACAAACTTTGTATCTGTTTTCAGAATTCCTACCGTTGTGCACTCCAGAGAACCAAGCAAGGTCCTTCCTCTTAGGGCATTTATGATCTAGCAGCCGGGAGAGACAGAGCTGTGTCGGGTGGTAGGGGATGATGCTCTGTGGTCAGGAAGGCCATCTCAGGGTGACACTTCAGAACCTGAAGAAAGTGAGGGAGCCCACTGCGTCGTCATCTGGCAGAGCCTTCCAGGGGAGGGCCCCGTGGGTAGTGCCTGGCTAGCTGGAGGGATAGCAAGGAGGCCCTGGTAGCTGGAATGGAGTGGATCAGTTAGAGTGGTAGGAGATCAGCTGAGAGACATAGTGGGAGGCTTTGCCTAACCTTGCAGTCATAAGTTACAGCAAGAATGTGGCTCTTGTACTGAGTAAGATGGGAAGTTACTGGAGAGTTTTGAGCAGAGCAGCGAAGTAATCTGACTTGAGAGGATCATTGGCTGCCCTATGGGGAAAGAGGCTCAAGTTAGAAACCCAGTTAGGAAGCTGTTGGACTTATTCCATTCCAGTGTAGCTCTTTCTGCTGCTTTGGTGGTCCCCTCCTCGAGGGTCTGTGAACCCCTTCCTTTATCTGATCTAACTTTATGCTTGTCCTGCTCTTGCAGGTGACACAAGGCTGGCATTTTTACAGTCAACTCAGAAGAACCTATGTGTTTTCCTCGCTTCCTTTATTCTGTATGCCAGTTCCCCACGTGGATTACATAGCCTTCATTTTCACTCTCTTTTCAGCAACATAGTCACGAATAGAAGATGATCATTTCTCAGCCATTCCATCTTTCGGATCACAGTTGGGACCTCCTCCAAACTGTCTTTTCCTTGCTTAGTAGAAGCTTTTTACACCTGCGGATCTTTTATTTTTTTTTTACACTAAGCGTGACTGCTAGTCTCGATTCCTCCATCATTCTCCAGTCTTTTTTAGCTTACTAACCTCTACTGATTCCCTCCTAACAAAGACACTCCAGTTGGCTACTCTAGTCTTTCTGTTCCTGACTGAGGGCTTTGCCTCCTTGACATTCTACTTCGGGGCCCACCCCTGGACCACCGTCAGCCTCGCCTGTCCTCACTCAGCTTTAGCGTGTGCTCGTCAGACTTACTGGGAACCAAAATCCATACTCGTTTCCTGGTTTTCCTCACTGGATGGTCAAACTGACACTTAATTTGTCTCATTCTTTTCAGGATCATTCCTCACTGCATTTATTTCAGACCTTGACGTTTTTGTCAGAACCAGGACTCAAGACATGATTTGTCTGGCTCCAGAACACCTTTTCCAGTCTCCTGTCACTGTCAACCAGACCTGTGGTTTTTTTCACATATTTTATAAGACATCTTCCCCTCCTTAGGCCTTTGTTACTTAGTTTTGGTCCCAGAGAACAAGACTGTACCTTGATCTTATTAAACTATTGTTTTAGTCAGCTCATATCACCAACTCCCAGTTTTAGCATCTACTTTATTCCTAACCCCTCTCAGCTTAATGCTGCCTGAGACTGATTATCTTGACTTTATGGAAACCACTATTTCACAACAAAACTGAAAGACATCACAAAACCCTTTGCCTTACCTTCCAAAACCACTACCAGGTCAGTATTAATGCACATTCACTCCAGTCATTCAACCAGTTAAGGATCCCTAATTAAATGTTGTCATCCTATACACACAAAGAGCCATCAGAGCAAAGGCAATGTCTTTGCTGAAATGCTGCCAACTATGGTTCCTGTTTGCTAAAAATAGCCCTCCCTTGGTTCCAAGCCCCTCGGCAGCCTCTCCTCACTGATACCACCTTGTTCTGTCTCCTTCCACCTGGGACCCAGTTACTTAGGTTTCTTAACTGTTCTCTCCGCATTCCTACCTTCTCTCTCTCCCATCACCAGTCTGTCCAACACATATCTTAAATCTTCCTAAGTCACCTCTTGGCCCA